CTAAAATAATTAAATATTAACTTATTAACTATATTAATTTACTTAACATACTCAAAGATTTGGAAAAGTTAGTCATACAAATGTTTCTATTTATATCTTGTGTTGTTAACACATAATATAAGCTTCTAACTAAAAATTATTTTAACAAAAATTGTTGAATAGAATATGAAAACATGATACCATTTTTATATTCAAATTTTATTCAAAGCGATATCAAGATTAAACATTTTCTATAATTATGTTTTTATTGTTTTTAAGGAATTTTTTTATAAAGATTTTTTTTTTTATTTGAACAAAAGAATTTCTCAAAAAAAAAGTCTTCTAAAATTGATCTGATCCAATATTTTGTAAATTTGTGAGCAAGTTTGTGCGGTGCATCTTTTGTATTCACACACATATAATTATTCTTACAAACAATAACTTTTTAGATTATAATATAACATAATTAAATTGCGGTACATTTGAAAAAACCATAAAATGTATAATACTTGATATTTACAGTAACAAATTGAATTAAAAGTAACAAATAGCCTTATCAATAATTATTTTATGTTTACTTGTATATTTTGATCTGGTGATGCACATTTGTGACTTTTTTATTATTATTTGTTAGTTAAACGAAGATTGTGAAATCAGTGCTCATAAAGTTTAATTTGAAATGGGACGTGGTAAGCATTTAACAAATGAAAAATTAGCAGTAATCAAAGCATACAAACATTCAGTCAAATCTAGTCTTGAAATTGCAAAAAAACTTCAACTTAGCGTTACTTCAAGATTAGCGTTAATTATGGAGCTTATAAAGGAAGTGGTAGCAAACATAAAATTAATAATCATTCTTAACAAGTTACTGCATGTCATGCTGCTGCTCAGCACATGACAGCATCTCAAATTCTTATTGATTTACAATTACCTGTATCTGTTCAACATTTAAGGGGTAAACAGATTCTAGCTGTTGACCTGCCTCGCACCCCTTCTTTATCTATTAGGCTGGCGCAGATGTATTTGAATACATTGTTTCCAGTTTAGGATGTTGAATGCTTGATCTTCTTGACTTGATGCATGGGTTTTGATTGTGTCTTTGTTTTTATGACTAGGCAACTCATTCTATTATCTCCTAATGAGGGTACAGCTCAAAAACTCATTTTTATGGTTCTGAGGCTAGCTGGTAGTCAGGTTTCCCAAACTCTGTGGTAGCTCTCAGAGAGGCTGATTCAATCAACAGCTAAATATCAAAGTAATAACAGTGCCATGTTGCGCATGGATGGTGTCCCTGTTTGTACTTTTGCCTTGCAAAGGCAAAAGTACAAATTGGAGCCCTTTGCTACGGCTTGAAGTTTATTAATAGTAATGAGGCAATTGCTTGGGCTATAAAACAGTGTACTGAGTACTGTCTATGTTTCGAGTCAAGTTCTTTAACAAATTTAAAAATGAATAAAGTAACAAAAACTATAAATCACAAAAAACCACTGTCATCATTCACTATTATTCGTGGTCTTCAAAGTAACTTTTCTTCTGTTGAGTCTTATCTCATGCAAAGTTTACCAGACTACTTGCTCTTTGTGAGACTAATTTGAGTTCAGCTGTCTCATCTTGTGATCTTAATGTTGATGGTTATTATGAATCCAATAGTCACATACTTGGCCTAGGCATTTACATTCGAAAGAACTCACCCATTTGTCGGAAAACTAGGTTTGAATCCACAGACTACTCTTTTATGTGCTTTCATTTAGCACCACTTCACTCTATCACCTTTCTTTTTGTTCTATATCACTCTCCTTCATCTCAAGACTGCACTTTTCTTGATGTTATTTCTGATAATATTGACCAAGCCCTCTCTCTTTATCCATCAGCCAATATTGTTGTTGTTGGTGACTTTAATGTTCATCACACTGAATGGCTTGGTTCTAGTGTCAGTGACTCTGCAGGCATTAAAACCAACAACTTTCGTTTTTCTCAACCCCTAACTCAAATAGTCAACTTTCCAACTCGCTTTCCAGACAACCCCAATCTTTTACCTTCTCTACTTGACTTATGTCTTGTTTCTGATCATAGTCAGTGCTCAGTTTCTCCACATTTACTCTTAGGTGCTTCCGATCATGGTTTGGTTTCTCTAAAACTGTTATCTCATTCTTCTTTACCATCAGAATCCCCCTATCATTGTACATCTTACAACTACCTTAAAGCTGAATGGGACACTTTCCGTGATTTTCTTTGTGATGGCTTCTTAAAATGTGCTTCTTAAATAACTTCGTGGATTCACGCTGGCATGGAATCCTTTATTCCCTCTCGACAATTCCAGGTCAATCCTCACTCTTCTCCATGGTTTTTCTCACATTGTGCTGCTGCAATTGTCAATCGAAACCATTACTTCCATATCTATTAGCAAAACAATTCTCTAGAAGACAGACATCTGTTTGTTACTGCTAGGAACCATTGTAAAAAGGTTTTGTCTAAGGCTAAAGCCCGCTATTCTCAGACCATAAAATCTCATATTTCATCACAAAAAATAGACTCTTGTGACTTCTGGAGAATCTTTAATAGTATCAATAATAAAGGCAAGTCTGTAATTCTACCTCATTTGTATGGTTCAGACTTTGTCACCTCACCTAAAGACAAAGCTAAATTGTTTGCTAATAACTTTTCATCAATATCATCTCTTGATTCCACTAGTTACAATCTACCTGATATAACCGTCAAACAGGTTGAACCATTTCATGACATTCATGTCACTCAAGCTTCTGTATCTAAAGTGATTTCCTGCTTGGACTCTTCTTCAGATTGTGGCCCAGACAACATACCTGTTATAGTCTTGCAGAAGTGTTCTCCGGAGCTGTTGTCTATCATTTCAAAACTATTCAACAAGTGCTTATCAGAGTCTTGTTTTCCAACCTGGAAAAGCTGGAAAGCAGCATCTGTTATCCCTATTTTTTAAAATTCTGGAGAGCGATCTGATTCATATAACTACTGTCCCATTAGTCTTCTTCCTATTATAAGCAAGGTTTTTGAATTTTTAATTAACAAACACTTAATCTCTCATCTTGAATCTAATAACTTACTTTCTGATCACCAATATGGATTTTGATCTTCTCGTTTTACAGCTGATTTGTTAACAGTAATAACCGATAGGTTTTATCGTGCATTAGATAAAGGTGGAGAGGTTAAGGCCATCACTCTTGACATTTCTAAAGCGTTTGATAAAGTTTGGCATGCTAGTCTTCTCCATAAACTTTATTCTTATGGTGTATCTGGAAACATCTTTAAGATTATTGAATCCATCCTTTCCAATCGTAGTATAAAAGTTGTCCTTGATGGACAGCACTCTTCTTCTTATTCTGTAACCTCAGCGGTTCCTCAAAGTTCAATCCTTGGCCCTATACTATTTTTTAATTTACATTAACGATCTTCCAGATATTCTCACATCTAAGGTGGCATTGTTTGCTGATGATACTACCATTTATTTTTGTCACAGTAAGAAGCTAACTCTCTCTGATTGCTTGCAGGGGGCATTTGAGCTTGAAAAGAATCTCGCTTCTGCTACAGCATGGGGCTCACAGTGGCTGGTGAACTTTAATTCAGGTAAAACTCAATTTTTTTTAGTCAATCATTATTGCAATAATTTAGACCTTCCTATATTTATGAAAGGTAATGTACTTGATGATTCATCTACCCTTCATCTTCTAGGATTAACTCTTACTTCTGATCTTTCTTGGAAACCTTATATCAAATCCGTTACAAATTTAACATCTGCTAAAGTTGCATCTCTATATTGAGCTCGACACTTTCTTACTCTGGATTCTATTCTCTATCTCTATAAATCTCAAATCCGGCCTTGTATGGAATACTGTTGCCATATCTAGGGCGGATCTTCTAATGATGTCCTTTCTCTTTTAGACAAGGTGAAAAAATGCATTGTAAACATTGTTGGACTTGATTCTTGCTGCCAACCGTCAACCCTTATCAAATTGTGGTAATGTTGCTTTTCTTTCTCTTTTCTAAAAATACTATAATGGGCACTGCTCCAAAGTGTCTCTTGTGCCATCTACTAAAACTCACTCTCGTGTTACTCGTCATTCAACTAAGTCTCATCCTTTTTCTGTTACTGTTCCTAAGTGCTCCAAAAACTCTTATTCGTCTAGTTTTTTTCCTCGAACATCAGTTCTTTGGAATTCGCTTCCTTCATCTTGCTTTCCTGATTCATATAATTTGCAATCTTTTAAGTCGTCTGTCAATCATTAATCTTGCTCTACAATCTTTATCTTTTCTCTTCCAGTAACTTCCAACACTAATTAGTGGTTGCTTACAGCCTTGTTGGAAGGAAAGATGTTAAAAAAAAAGTGAGACAAATCTTACATAAAGATCCAAACACAGTTTGGAAAAAGTGTAAACCAAAACCAAAACTTACTGCTTGTCATTAAGAAGTTAGATTACAATTTGCAAAAGGACACATGTCTTGGCAGAAAGAGTAGCATCAAGTTCTTTTTAGTGAAATCAAAAATCAAAAATGAATTCACAGGACTACATTGACTTGTTAAAAATAAGTTTGCCTGAACATGGTGACGAATAAAATTGTGTAATACACAATTGAGGAATACATGGTAAGTAAAAACAATTACTAAAAGTAATATTGTAATAGTATTATTTGTTCCTTACATCATAACTTGCTTTCTACACTATAACTGCAACTTAAATTTTAAATTATAACTTAAGCTGTAAATTATAGCAGTAACTTAAGCTATTTTTAACCCCACCATACAAGAACATTATAAAATAATATTTAAATATGAGAGTTATGTTAAAAACAAAATAACAATTACAAACTAATGTACAAATAATACAATTTTATACTAATGCAACCCCCTCCCCTTACCACAAAGCAGAACCAGGGATGGAGGGGGTAAAATTTTTTTTTGCGTTAATTCGAGCCCTGTTATACTTGAATAAGAAAATAGCATTATGGGTCTAGACTACATCATGGATGTTAAATTTTAGCAAAAAATTAC